CACACATACACTCTGTGTGTAGAAAAGCCGGTCTAAAGTATAAGTATCGCGACGGACGACTCGTCTAATGGTCCTTTTTTATTGCTGCATCCACGCAAGACGAGTTGCGAGTTGCAACGACGTAAAGATGGAACAGATGTATGTTACAATGTTGCGGTGATGCCACACGCACACTGAGAACCAAATTTGACTGACGGATTGAGTTCAATGTGTACGAGAGAGAAGTGCGTATAGACGCATATGTTAGAAAGAGATGGAAGCCGACGTGAAAGCGAAGCTCATCACCGCGTCGCCTAGCAACGCTGTCGTAAAGAAAGCATATGTCATTTTCTAAATGTTTCTCGATTACAATAGTTTAAGTAAAACAACAATAATAATCAAGCCACACCACAATATTCTAACAATTTTATACCAATTCTCTCTATTCGATTTGGAATCCACTCTATTTGTATGCTAATCGGGCGTAATAAAACAGTGCGACCTGCCATTCGCAAACCGTAAATAAAGAAAAGAATGGCCTGTGTCGCAGAATCAAATTATGACCATACAAGTGCTGTATACGAGCTTTATTTATGTTTGGAATTAGTATTGTTTATTTTGAGCAACAGAAGGTACAACAGACTTACGACTGGGTGCGGCGTTGCCAGTTTTACTTTCACGCATCAGTTTCCTGAAGCCGCAATTTCGGATTTGAGCTGGATAAAATTTAAGCAAGCACGAAAAGGTTCTGTAGATGCAATTGTGCCTAAGATACTTTTTATATTCTTGTAGGGGAAGATTTGTGTTTTAATTTAGACATTTGACGACGAATAGTAAATGAAAGTGGTTCATTTTGAATAACATTATACGCAAAAACAAATCCGAATACTATACTGAGCATAGATACTTCTTGGACCACTTACAGCAAATCTGACACCATTTTACCTATTATGACAAAACTGACGAGGAAGTATTGTAATCCAAAAAAATTCGAAATTGAGACAATCTGTTGTTTCTAGATATATAAAACTTTATTTTCAATTGTTTTGAAAAAACAAACTTTAATTTTTTTGGGACACCCTAGAATATAGTCAACCTACTTGATGCTATTTTTTTCAGATACTTTGGTCTTTGTCGCCTGAATGGAATCATATTATTTGTCGCACGCTGTATCTCAAATCCAATCTTTTATTATCTCATTCACCAGCTGACCACAACATCAACCATTCATCATCCAAATTAGCGACGACATAACCTCAAAGCGCGGATACGAAAGTTAAAAATCGTCAACCTTCTGCGAGGCTATTTTCGCATCAAACGTTGCGAAACGCACATTTAAAAAAAAACTTCTCACCTTGTACTTTGCGTACGTGAGAAAATAGTTGTGGCGATTTTCGTAAAAATAGTTTTAGTCACATCGCGTTTGGTGGGCCAGACGGCTGGATGTGCCAGCTACGATCTCATTGGCGTAGAATGTTGTTTCTGCATTTATTTTAAGGGATTCGATGTGGAATAGCCGCAGTGCTATCAGATCTACCGATTTACGATAACACTACCTGGATCTCTGCAACCAACAATGCATGCTTGAGCTCGTCGTGTCACTGAGTCATTCCTCCATAGATGGACGCTCACAGAGATCATAGCGAACAAACGTGGTATGAACTAACGGGTTCGAAATTTAGTCACAAGCTTCCGAATAGCTCCCTCAGTAGGCCGACCAAATTGCCCATAAATTGGAAGCAGTGCTCGGTGCACTCTCTTAACCGAGCATGAATTTTGATATTAAAATTCAATAATTTTCAAGCGTTGTTCGTTCGTAAGTCGATTATAGACCAAACTGAACAAGACACGATTCACGCGTCATCTGTCAAAAACAGTGTTGCCAAAAAGATACTAGCAAAAAAATACCCATTATTTGCGGACTAAAAATCACCTAGCAAGATGACATTTTGTTGGTTTTTTGACGTTTTTTAGGTTTTTTACATAATACCTCTGAGTTTTACAGTCAGTAAGGGCAAGAGAAGTGTTTAGAAAAATGCCTCGTCATTTTGGAAAAAGAGCGAAAGTGCTAAGTTGCTTTTCACGTAGTAAGTTTTAAGTTCTTTTCAAATACACTTAAGTACGTTTAAAGCCTATGTCCACTTAATTTGAATGCGCCCTGCTAACATATATGTTATAAGATTATTCTAATAAGGTCGTTTAGTGAATCATGTAGCTTTAATTTATAATGTTGATCGGTCCTCAATACTACATTACTGTTTGAGCTGGGGTTATGCTCAATGGTAAAGGCGAACTTTTTATTTCAAACAGCACAGTCAGTGCTGCAGTTTTTCGGGCAACATTTTGAACAATATTGTTTGGAAACGAGGGAACAGTGCCGTCTTGCAACTGTAAGAGCTTGCTTGCAATGATGTTGCCGACTGTAAAACGGTCCTTAAACGAACACCCGCCGCTGATTCGAAAATATTTTTATGGTAATCCGCTCATGATTTATAGCACCACCACGTACGTAAATACTAGCAGTATCTAATTTCAATTCCAATAAAACTGATATTCAACTACGATCTGTCAAAACAGAAGCTCGTCTTATAGACTGATGTAGTGTTGTATTTTCGTAACAAAACATTCTCTGGATCAAAGAGTACATTATAACCTGGCTGCAGGCCAGTGTAGGATCGTGTGCGGTATTTGCAAAAGTAATAACTCAAAAATAGTGCACGGACATAATAGCAATGTGTTTTATGGGTTGAAAGCCCCCCATGCTGATTTGCAATGACCATGATAGTAACAGTGAAATGCAAAGGAGAATAGTGGATAATGTCATGAGCATAGAGGATATCCAATTCAGTTGACAGCCGTGACTGCGCGAAAATAAGCATACGTTGACATCTACACATATTACCACAACTGTCCATTGCGAGAGTGAAAACAGCAAGATGTCTGCGCCGAGTTTTCATAACGAGTTTTCACGCCAAGCGTCTACGATGAGCTTAGAATTTCATCATACATCTTCTTGAGGATATTTCATGTTGACCTTGGTGTTGAGCTTTTACGACATACTTAGAGTTAGGACTCTCATCCTTTAGTAGGAATTCCATGTTGAACTTTGAGGCCACATTTTCGCGGAAGCTTCATGCTACGCTTCCTCACCGAGACTCATCGCCAAGCTTTCAAGCCGAGTCTTCACAAGCTTCTGCGATGAGCTTAAAATTTCATCATAAATCTTTTTGAGGAGCTTTCATGTTGAACCTTCCGGCTGCAGAGCTTTTTTATCTTATCGTCGCTCTTTCAAACCGTCTTCACTATCGACTTTTGCTTTGAGCTTTCACTAAATGCTTAGAGTTAGGACCCAAATCTTTTTGTAGGAATTTCATGTTGAACTTTAAGGCCACATTTTCGCGCAGAGCCTTCATGCCAACCTTTCTCGACGAGCTTTTATGCCGAGCTTTTACCGATAGTCTTTCCGCCAAGCGTCTACGATGAGCACCATAAATCTTCTTGAGGAGCTTTCACGTTGAACTTTCAGGCTGCAGAGCTTTTATTCCAATCTTTCTCGCACAGCCTCATCGCAGAGCTTTCATACCGAGCTTCTAATGATAGCTTTTTCGCCAAACTTTTACGATGAGCGTAGCATTTCATCATACGTTTTCCTAACGAGCTTTCATACTGAACTTCGAGAGCCTCATCGCCGAGCTTTCACACCCAGTTTTCACTAATAACTTTTTCACCAAGCTTCTTCGATGAGCTTTAAATTTCATCATAAATCTTCCTGAGAAGCTTCCATGTTGAACTTTCAGGCTGCAAAGCTTTTATGCAGAGCTTTCTCGCCGAGCTTTCAAACCGAGTCCTCACAATCGCCTTCTGCGCTGAGCTTTGACGAGACGCTTAGAGTTAGGACCCAAATATTTCAGTAGATATTTCATGTTGACCTTTCATGCAGAGCTTTCATGCCCTACCCAATTTTCACTAATAACGTTTCCACCAAGCTACGATGAGCTTAAAATTTCATCATAAATCGTCTTGAGAAGCTTTTATGTTGAACTTGTGTAGACTTATGCAGACTGCAGAGCCATAGAGCATAGGGCCAAACTTTCTAGCAGAGCCTTATCGCCGAGGTTTCATACCCAGTTTTTACTAATAACTTTTTCACCAAGCTTCTTCGATGAGCTTTAAATTTCATCATAGATCTTCCTGAGAAACTTTCATGTTGAACTTTCAGGCTGCAAAGCTTTTATGCCGAGCTTTCTCACCGAGCCTTATCGACGAACTTTCATACCGAGTCTTCACTATCGACTTTAGCTTTCACGACATGCTTAGAGTTAGTACTCAAAACTTTTTGTGGGAATTTCATGTTCAACTTTCAGACCACATTTTTGTGCAAATCTTTCAGGGCAAGCTTCCTCGCCGAAACTCGTTGCCAAGCTTTCATAGCGAGTTTTCACTATAGACTTTGTCGCCAAGCTCCTACGACGAGTTTAGAATTTCAGTGCTAGTTCATGCAAGCCTCATCTCCGAGCTTTCATATCCAACGTTCACTATGGACTTTTTGTCGAACTTTCATGATGAATCTTCAAGCTGAGCTTTCACTCACAACCTTAATGCGTGTTTTATTGTCGAGTTTTTATGCCCAACTTTCAGTATGGACTGTTTCGTCGAGGTTTTACGACAAGCTTAGAATCAACCTCCAAGTATTCTTGTTGTACCTCCACTATGGAATGTGTTGTTGTCGAGTGCAGAGTGAAATCTCAACTCCTCTTGTCGAGCTTTAATGCCAAGTTTTGTCGCAGATCCTTTGCGCTAAGCTTTCATATTGTGCTTTCACTATACACTTCTTGGTTATTCTGGTTTTACGACACAATGGTAAGAGGAGCTTAGTTATTATGTTTAGGGTTGAGATTTATGAATGCATGATAGAGTAACCTACAGTATCTGTTCCACGACTCTTGTGCCTTTAGTTTGTCTACTTCTATACTACTTATAAAAACTTATGTTGCCTGTACTATACCCTAATCTACAATCACCGCGCTATGACTCCCGCGCCTGAGCTCGCCGTGCGCATGCCCATGCCAACTCCCGTGCACGCTCGGCTTCTATCGTTTCCTTTCGCTAGTCTGTCGTGCGCCTTCATTGCGTCAGGGTCCTCGATCGCCGTTTTTCGGCTCATCTGCCCACAAATTTGTGCGTTGCGCGCCTCTAACTCTATTGACAATCTCAAAACCTCCTCCGCGGTGATTTTGCATCCGTGTTTGAGTGATTTGTGAATGGATTAAACAGTGATTGAGGTGGTCGAAGCTTGAAGGCAACCGGGACTGGAATAAGGTAAGGAGATGCGAAAAGTAGGCCATGCCTTGTACACAAGGGATCCGTGACGTCTTTCGGGTTTTTTTGGACGCAATTTGGGGTGAAACAGTACACATCTCTGGCTTTACAATGTGGGAAATAGTGGGATTGTTGATGGTAGGATTGTGGAGGTTGTAACGATACATAACCTCCAACTTTTACTATCAAGTTGGTTATGAATCAATCAATAAATGAGGAATGTAAAGGATTTGAATGCTGAGAATGTATGTATTGTAGATTCAGAGCCCTAGGATATATAGAATTTCCTCACGTTAGTAGTACATTGGAAATTTGTAGTGGAATGACAGTTGACAGTTGCCTTGAACTCTCGAGGTATTTTGTTTCCAGGGCTATGTTGATTGTTGATATTATTGTATGCAACTTACAATCTACAATGTTGGATGTTAAGAGATATTTTTTCAAAAAATATTTTAGCAGCTGCTAATTATATAGGTAGGTACCATGTTTTTACCATTCACTTTTCGGAGTTCAAGTCACCGAGGATTTGTTTTAGCTGTTATTTCTTTGGGGCTGAAAAGTATTTTTTCCCACATCAGCTGTCATTATCATCATAATCGGTTATATCTATTGCGTGGCCACAAAGCTAACCGAAATCAACCGTGTGGTGGTACAAAACATAAATAATTTTAAATCGTCAATGATTTAATTTACAATTATAATTTTCAAAAAAAAAATATTACGACTACGCCTGCTGTTCGTTTTATGCTGGAAACGTTATAACCAATTCTCGTCGTTTGTATTATAAATTTTTGCTATAATTGCAGTTTATAAATTATATCCCATTATTTTCACTCTGTATTATACATTACGAGATTCTCTTGTATGAATTTCAATACCATAGTAGGCCGTGACAGTTCTCTGTATGTCTTCTAGCTGCAAATGTGGGCCTCTTGATTTTTTGGGCCTCATGAAAAACAGCTGTAGAATAATTCTTGAAATTATTTCTCGTAGGCTGTCACTTTTTGGGGGTTTGACATTTCCGCTTCTGGTACGAAATGCATTTTGGGTTCGAGATTATGATTTATATATTGATATACAATGAAAATAATAAGGGTCCTAACACAGACCCCTGGGGTACCCCAGAACAAATGTTTTGTGGGGTACACTACAGTTGATTTGGACGAACTTTTTGAAACCGATTTTCAAGGTAGATTTGAATAAAGGTTTTTAAAAAAAATCATAATTACTGCATTTAGACACAAAAAATGAATGATTAAAATAGTGTCAAATGCTTTAGATAGTAAAGTCAAGAAGTATGAGAGCTACTGCCTTTTGATTGGCAAGATCCTTTGACTGATTTTGTGCTACAAGGTTTGTAATTTTGCTATAATTTTGTTTGCTATGACTTTGTTTGATCCAGTCATTCTGTAATCATAAAAAGTATACTTAAATATTTTAAGCTCGAAAAGATGTGTCGTGTGACTTTTTTGAAAAACTGATCTTGATAATATATTTTTCTAAAATTAAGTTCCACTATTCGATGTCAATCCATTGCACTATGTTTCTGTAAAAAGTAGAAAACGAGTAAGATTCAACCTTTATGCTTTAAAATAGTATCTTTACCTGAAAGTTGTTTTCTAACAGTGAAAACTGCCAAGTAAAAGTGTACACTACGATGAAAAAGATGCAGTTAAGTTCCGTTTTATGTTCCTAGTGCTATCTTTACTTGTTCATCATGCTTATTGTTTACTCAGGTGTGTAATTGCAAAAGCCGTAAACTCTTACCGCCAAAGATCGTAAAGTGTAAAAAGCGAAAATAAATGAATATTTTTTTTAATAAGCATTTTGCAAAGGTAAACAACTCAAAGTAGGATGAACCAGTCTTTTCACGCAATATTATGAAATCATTTTAGTGCCTAATTTTTATATCATGCAGGCATTGCGGATCGCGCTTTTATTTTATTGACAATAGGTGTTCAAATAGATTGCCATTATTTTCTGAACATAAATACGATCTCCTAACGGTGGAATTCAAGACATCAAGTAAGCCATGAAATGTTTACGCAGCATTTTCTAATTGAACCTAATACCCTCTCCAGACTCACGCGCGAATCACGGCGTGAAATCGCGGCTCGGATCGCGGTGCGAATCCCGAAATTTCTTCCTACAGTTCCACACTCGCAGATGTTCGCGCCTGCTTCACAGTATAGTTCGCGGTCTTGACGAGTATGGATGGTGAAATTGCTACTGCTGCTGCAGTGCTATTTTGCGCTTTGGCATTTTATAATTACGCATATATAAGTAAAACTAGAGCAATTGAAAATAAGTGGAAAAAACACAACCACTCCCGACACTCGCTATGAGGCAACTGAATCACCAGCGAATGTGGAGCCTAGTCATGTTCGCGCCTTGCCAACCCTTTGTCGCGGGACAAAAAACCGACAACAAACGGGAACAACGCGCGAACGCGACGTGAAGCCGCGAAGAATACGCGAATGGGATCCACACTCATGGATCGCGGGTAGTTCGCGGCTTCGCGCGCGAATCGCGCGTGAGTCTGGAGAGGGCATAAGCTCTATCTCCTACAGGTGTTGAGAGATCCCCATGTATAGGATTCTTATCATACATTCCCTCGTAATTCAAGTTACATGATTGATGTGACATATGACAGTATGCATTAGAATTCCATATTGATTCTGGTGTCAATCACAAACTACTTTGTCGTATCCAGTTCAATGTGCACCGGTCGAGTTACAACAGGCCGTTAGCCATTATGCATATTGATGAGTAATATTGGAAACTATGATAATGTTTATGACATCCATGCATTCTATAACCTTCGCGAGGCAGAGTCAGCGTGAGGTTAGAGAGTACTGACTTGTCAAGGACTTGTCGTACTGGATTTGGATGCATACACTGAGAACCAAATTTGTCTGAGGGCTTAAGTTCAATGTGTACGAGAGAGATAGAAGCTGTCTGGATAGTAGATGTCATCGGCACGTTGTCTAGCAACGGTGATGCTAGATGGGCACTGACCAAAATCGCTCATCTGTGATCATGAAGGTGGAAACCGTGCCTTGGAATGTACGAGACGCGGTGTTGCCAAGTGAACCAATGATCCAGTGTGGCGGACCTGACCTTTCATTTCGACATTGAACGAAATCCGTCAGACAAATTTGGTTTTCAGTGTATACATTCGGAGAACGTACCATATTCGAGTTTGAACTGTGGATGTAACACCGTTAGACCAAAAGTGGTAATGACGAAGCCGTTTTGCTATCATAAATTTCCTACGAACCCAACCGAATGGCTCGTGGTCAAATCCATGCGGGCATAGCAGTCTCTAGAAACTTGTATTCCGTTAATGGGTATGATTAGGCGTTTTCTGCCCTGGGTGTGTTGGTAGCTGCGTTTCCTACTAATGCCTAACTAACCGATAGACTAATTGCAAAATTACCGTTTGATCCCAAGATATGGTATATGCGGGATATTGATGTTTGATATTAAGCGTGGTGAAACGTGCTCTATGTTGAGATTTTAGATTCTGGAAAAAATCCTCGTGCTTCTTTTTGTGATCCAAAAAATCCGTGTGTAAAGCATTGCTCAACAGACTAAATAATTGTTGTTACTCAGATTCACAGATTCAGAGGGACATAGCTAGAATGGACTTTTATATAAACCGTGGAAGACTTTTTTATTAATTACGGAAAGCTCGATTCCCGATGGTATCGAATATCAAGGTTTAGATCAGCCTTGAATAGAACAATGGCGTCTGGGTGACGGTATTACATTCTATTTTGCTGTCTTTTGCGACAGCTTCAAAGAGAGATCCCATGGAAGAAACCGGACGGCCTTGGTTCCCAATGTAACAATAACAAACATCGGTAAGAGGATTTTTTGCGCGCGTGTTCCAAATTTCATATAGAAGGCGGGGGGATTTTTATTCAGTTCGATATTTGACGATGTTTTTTCTTTTGCTTCACGTGACAATTGACAAGGAAGCATTGTAATCGCAAACATGTTGCCGTAACTGTTGCATTTTTGCTATCACCGAAAAATGTTTTATTATTCAGAAATTTGTGACCCCAGCAGTATTACCCACACACTCACTTATTTCTCAAACGGAACATCAGCAACAGGCGATATCGCTTACCTGCGGAGGGTCCGATCCGAATTCAGCAACACAAATGGCCGCAGCGTTATCGAAGTCGTCAACGACGCGTGACGATGTTGATGATAGGGCGCACAATTTTACGATATTATGTCTTCAAATTTACTGTAATTGTTCCATCTTTGGCATCACTGAAAGAGTTTTATTATTCAGAAATTTGTAACCCCAGCTGTATTACCGACACACTTATTTCACAAATGCAACACCAGCCACCCAGCGACACGCGATATCACTTACCTGCGAAGGGTCCGATCCGAATTCAGCAACGCAAACAGTAACTCAATCGCAGCGTTATCGAAGTCGTCATCAACGGGTGACGATGTTGATGGTACCCAGGGCGTAAAATTAACTCAGCAACGGTGTATATTTAATTTTTTTGAATAAACAGAGATTTCTGGGAAAACACCGGACGGCCTTGGTTCCCAACAATAACAAATCTCGGTAAAAGGATGTTTTGCGCGTATGTCACGTTCCATTTAAAGGGTAGTCCCGGAGATTTTTATTCAGTTCGATAGCTTATTCGTCGATGTTTTTTCCTTTTGCTTCACGTGACAATTGACAACGAAGCATTGTAATCGCAAAAATGTTGCTGTAACTGTTGCATTTTTGGTATCACTGAAAGACGTTTTATTATTCAGAAATTTGTGACCCCAGCA